ACATGTACATATATAATTATATATAATTATATACATATATGTATATACACACAATATATGATATAATAAATAATGTTTAAAAGGTAGTGTATTTTATATACTTTCTATTATTTTAGCAACAAATCCTACTTAAATAAAAAAAACTGTGTATGTTTGCATTAGTTCCAGTCTATTTACCTCAGGGTTTCTGTAGCTCTTAATTTTACTATAAATCCATCTGCTTTAATATTTTTATCGCTTTGATTACTTAAAATCCTGATTGCAGTACTCTCCACTAAGTCTGTTCCTGACCACCTACTCCTCCTCCCTCAGTTTAATTTTAATTTAAAACTTGATTTAAATTTATTTTTTTTTTAAATCTGGGAGAAGTTACCAGGGGAGAGGGTAGACATGGAAGAACTGGAAAATGAGTGTTACCGGGATGCATGATGAGAAATTCACAGAGAATCAATGAAGAATATACATTTTCACAAGAAAAAAAGATAGAAAACAAAAAGAAAAGAAAGCAAGGGTATATTTTAACTAGTAGTTTCCAGGAATAAGGTACACAGGAAGGAAATCATGGTGATGTTACTCACAATGAAGTAGCCCAGGGAATAGCTTGTTCAATTTAGAAAGTGGCTTAATTTGCTACTATTGCTATGATAAAACACTGATGAAAAGCAACTTATGGAGGACAGGTTACACTTCATGATTTACTTCTAGTTATCAGTTAATTACTGAGAAATGTCAGGGCCCAAACTGAAGCAGGGTAGGAACCTGGAGGCAAGAAATGAAGCAGAAACTGTGTAAGAGCTGTGCTTCCTGTCCTGCACCTCATATATTTCTTTGTGTGATTAATAGCTCAAGGGTGGCACCATCCTGGAGATCTGGGCCCTACAATTTCCACTGTTAATCAAGACAACATCCCATAGACTTCCCTACACACTAGGACAATCTGATGTAGGCATTTCCTCAACTAAGATCCCTCTTCTCACCAACTTCTTCTCTTAGACATTTTTCTATTTCTTTAATAAAACACCAGGAGTAAGGCAACTTATAGAAGTAGATATTTATTTGGGATTAGAGCGGTAGAGAGATTACATTCCTTCAAAGTCATGAGAGAGAAGCATGGCTGCAGGAAGGAAGGACAACCAAACAGGAATCAGAGACCTGGGGGCTCTTATCTTAGGCAGCAAACACGAAGCACAGAGAGTACACAGCAAATGGCACCTAGCTTCTGTAATGTTAACTCTAACCAATGACATACTTCCTCCAGGAAAGCCAAGCCACTTAAACCACCCAAAAGGTCTCACAAAGATGGCATCCTATTTAAACCATCACAATGAAACTCCTCCCCACACCCTGCAAAAAATCACCAATTCGAGAAACCTTTGAACTCCTTAATTTGATTCACTCACAGGTATTCTGGAAGCAAATCAGTTCTGAAATGTTACTTTGCTTTACTAGCTCCTCCATTCTTTTCAAGATGTATGAAATTTTAACTATGTTATGTATGTTGCAAAAGAGTCTCCATTTTAGACAGAGACTTCATTTCACAGGTTGATATCGGCTTGTAGTAACTGCTATTTTCTTCATCATTTTAGATTTCCATTTTTTATTGATTTCAATTTTGTAAAGTACTTGAAATTACAAAGGATCTTGTTTTTGCCTTGTGGTGTTACAGATGTCTTTTATACAAATCATGATTGACAAGAATGTAGATGTTTTGGGAGACGATGACAGTACAATTTGTAAGGATATTCAAAAGAGATCTGATGAACTTAAGATGTCACTAAATACTGCTGGTAAGTCACCTGTTATGAAAAGGCCATAGGTGGGCACAGTGGGAAAACCTCCAATGCTAATACTGAAGAATTAAAGATTTCATCTGTTCTTTCTCAGGAAGAAGGTCGTAAGTATAAGTGAAGTTTTAATTAGTCATCAAATGAACGAAAGTATGATATCATTGCCTGATATCATGAATTTGTAAATATCAGAGTAGCATTGGGCATATCATGATATTAGAGTATGGGAAAAGATTGTTTAAACAACACTTCATATATATATATATATATATATATGTGTGTGTGTGTGTGTGTGTGTGTGTGTGTGTGTGTGTGTGTATTTACATGTATCTATGACAGAAGTACTCCTTATTTAGCCTCTGTATGACTTTCAGAATATTACCTTCTATATTTCTCACTTTTCATTCCATGGTCCATAAGTCATGTGAGATATCTTGGATATGAAATTGTTTTTTAAAAACTCACTTGAACAATTATTTGATTTTAAAATCCATTAAATATACTACAAGACTGAACCATGTGCTCACAAACTTTGTTATTCTTGTGTAAAAACACTAATGTTTGTTTAATTTACTTTGAGAGATAATCTTGCCAAATACTTAGCATTTGCTATAAATTTTAAGCTGCACAGGATCCATTACAACACATATGTGAAGAATAATAAAGATGCTAAATAAAACATACCTGATTTAACAGGTAATACCATTCAAAATAAGATATACTGTTAACTCGGGTAATTTTTTGTGTAGAGTTCAGAAAATGCACTGAAAAGGTAGTTTTATCTGAAGTGGGGGTGAATCTATCATCTGAGAATATTTGTCTAATGAAGACATTTTATGTTTCATTTAGGATGTGACAATGGAAAAACTTCAACATATAATGTTCCACAGAGGAACTATTTGTTACAAATAGTTTCACTCATTATACTTACTTTTATGTTGTGTATCATATATATTTATCTATTATAATAAATTTTAATAAAGTGTATTATTGCTTTGACTCCAATGTACCTGATTCATGATTCTCCATAGTCTTTGAAAAATGGCATTTTCAGTATTCTCCTGTACCTCTGTTGCTCAGGCACCTGTATTCATGTGACAGATCCACTAGAATCAATTATTATTTCTTTTCCACACTACAATCAAAATGGCATTCTAAGTACTACTCAAGAAATGAATATTAGGGGTTTATCTGACCAAATTCTTCTAGATTCTTACCATAAAACAGTCCCCATTGCTAAGAATCAATTATGTAGTAGTACAATAAAATCAGACTCCCTCCTATGTATTATAGCAACTTTTTTTAAAAAAGAACTTATGTTCCTATTTATGTGAATAGGTACTCTAGATAATTATTTTCATTAGGAAAATAGCTCATCATTTGAAGGCTCAGGGTATCGTCATACAGCTGTTCTGATGTCAGGAGGTTGGAGCTATTGAAGTCGTTCACCTAGCTGAGAAGCAGAGATCGATGATGTTCATATTCAGTGAGCTTCTTTAATACATTCCAGGAGCCGTGCTTAAGGAATACTACAGCACAGTTACCCTGTTATTTTTTTCACATCAGTTACTTAAGCATAGAGAGAAACTAATGACATTAAATATTCCCTCAGAGTTGTGCCCAGAATCCTTTGTCATAATAGTTCTAAATAAAATTCCATTGACGATCAACATTTATCCTCACACATGATAAATTTAGAGGTGAATCACAATTTTAAGAATATAGGAAATGGTCTGAAACGATAGGTCAGTGTCTAAACCAACTGACATACAGGCTTTGTGACATGAATTTGGGTCATCAGAACTTACATTAAAAAACAAACAAAACTAGGTATTGTACCACAGTCATCTGTAAACTAAAAAGTTTCTACCTGGAAATGGAATTTGCAGATTGTAATGAATGTTGTTCTGTAGTGACCAAAAGAGATCCTGTGTCAAAAAGAGATGGGAAAAAGACCAGTATTTCACTCTGTCTTCTAACATAAATAAGCTCAAAGCTCTAAATATATTGCCAGTGATCTTAGATGCACACACACACACACACACACACACACACACACACACAGAGAGAGAGAGAGAGAGAGAGAGAGAGAGAGAGAGAGAGAGAGAGATCATACACATTTGCATATGCATCACATATATTCAGAAACCCACATAGGTACAGTATATTTGATGTAGTGTCTCTCTTCATAAACTGAGACCTTTATCTCAATGCCAGGCATTCTTTACTCATGATTCTTGTTCTGAGAAAGAGTCTGTGATTCAAATTTGAGATATGAAAATCATAGAAAATTCCCTAGTAAAGACATTCATAAATACCACATTAATTATTTTTAGGACCCTCCTACACTCCCCTAGCACACATTCAGAATGTTTCCTTTATCACTATAATTATTTTAAATTTTTATTGAAAATTGAATTATAGCACTGTGACCTCCCATTCCTCCCTTTAGTCCATTGCATGCAACCCACTCGCAAACTCATTGTTTCAATATTGTTATATATGTGTGTTTATTTGTTTATGATTGTATTTATAAAAATAGAAACACAACTTGAGTCCACTTTGTGTTTGTGTATATGGTTTCCAAGGTGAGTAGTCTGTATTGGACAGTCCATTTGACTCTCACTTGTATAAAAGGCTAATATTCTGCTGCCATCTTTAGTTGCTTGTAATATTTTGAAACATGAATTATGACCATTGCATTAACACTGCATTGATATTGCCATCATTGTAGTTTTACATCCATTTTCTGAGATTTCAAAACACCCTTTCAGGTGTGCTGCCTCTTAGTCTTTGTAACCCCAATTTATGCAATATTCCCTGAGCTATACACACTGATATACATGTATTCTTTTGTGCTGGGTTTTCCCCCAATCCATTGATCTCTTCATTGCGTCCAGTTTTGGTTTTCCTTGATGGTCTCAATTTACTGTACCAAGAGGCTTCTTTGATGAGAGTTGATGGCTTCACTTCTATGTGGGTATAAGAATGAAATTTAGAATGCTGCCTTAAGGAATTGAGCTAATCTAGTAAACTAGTCTGATACATTTTCATGTCCATGACTTCATGAGCTTCCTAAATCTGACTAGATTTCTACTGCTAGCCATGATTTCTTTCAATCTCTTTGAGATTAATCCCTCCAAATGTTAAAATATTTCAAATTACTTTCCCCAAAATACCAATGTTTGTCATAGCCGTTGGCTTCCTCTCAGGGTTGATGAGTTGAGTGCCTGTTGCCTAATGAATCTTACAGGGATATCTCTGAATTCAACTGATTCTACCAGGATATGACTTAGAAGCCTCTAGCTTTAAGTTGAGTTTCTCTTGTACATAAAACAGTAGGCAAGTTGACATGTTAGGACCCTCCTGCCACACTTATGAAGTATATCAATAACCAGTACAGCAAGCTTTCAGAATAAGTTCAGTAAGTGATACATACATGTCAGTAATATCCAAGGAGTCTTTGATTAGACTTAAGTTTATTTACTTTACCACATAATTGAACATAGTTCTAGAACTTTCATTTGGTTTTTCAGAAAAAAAAATAGGTTATTGTAAAGGGGCCTCTAAAGTTCAATAATTTAGGCCTTGTTATTTGTCTCAAGGATTATTCCATGCTGGACCTTTGACTTGACCAAGTCACACATTTTGACTCCTGTCTGACAAGAGAAATTCATTTTCCTAGTAAATAAAGTAAGTGAAATATAAATATAGTATAAAGTTCCTTCCTTTTTGGCTACTTTCCTTTTCGACTTTCCAAGTCTTCAATTCAATTCACCTTAATCAACTATAGTCTGAAATGTTAAATGCTGGAATACCTAGTAATAAAAAGTTGCATACATATTAGATGGAATACCATACTGATTTAAGTGAAGACATTTTTTTTTTACCAGTAACTCCCTTGTTTCTACCATTCCTTGTGATCATCTCCTGATGATTTGTTTCTCAGATATGCTGGGATTTCCCCTGTATCCCAGGCTGTACTATAACCACACCAAAATCTACCATTGGCCTTTCTTGAGATAAACTATACTGGCAACACATGAGTTTCCTATAATTCTTTCTCTAGGACAGAATCTCGTGTGCCTTTCCCTAAGTCTACAAATTAAAACATGTAAGAAACTGTTGTTTTAAAATACATGAGTCAATTATAAAGTTGAGCCTCTCTAAAATATTGTCTCAAATTTTCCAAAGGTGTTTAAAAGTCTTTCCGTTCTTATGTTCTACTGTGGAAGAACTGAAGGGTCCAAAGGGGCTTGCATCCCCATAGGAAGAACAATATCAACTAACTGGACCTCTCTGAGATTCTAGGGACTAAACCACCTACCAAAGAATATACATAGAGGAAGCCATGACTCTAGACACATGTGTAGTAGAGGATGGCCTTATCTGACATCAATGGGAGGCGAGGCCCTTTGTCCTCTGGAGGCCCAATGCCCCAACATATGGTGATGCTTGAGCAGTGAGGACGGGGTAGATAAAATGGTAGCTAAGAACCCTCATAGAGGCAAAGGGAAGGGGTAAAAGGGGATAGGATAGGGGTTGCTGTGGAGGGGTAACCAGGAAGGAATATCATTTGAAATGTAAATGAGTAAAATGATTGAGAAATAAATAAACATTTTTAAAAATCAAAATGAGTTAAAGATTCCCTATAAAGGAAAATGTAAACAACAGTCACATTCAGATCTAAAACAAACAAAACAAAAAGTCCCAGAAGTTTAAAGTTTAAAAGTTCATCATCAGATATTGGCTACTCACTATCTTCTGTGTTACAAACCTCACCATTTCCCCAGATCTGCTGTTAGCAGGACACACGTTTTGTTATGCTCATTCAGGTTATCTACACTCCAGGACTGCGCAGATCCCATCATACAGGTAACTTCAAAATGTTAGAATTTCTCTTGCAAATGGACTGCACCTCACCAATAGGCTGTGTTGGGATCTTGCCAGGAACACTATCTCATGTGGTGTCAATCACTAACTTTTTACCACGGACACTTCATGCTTTTGGCTTCTACAGAAACTGAGGCTGTACCCCATTATTGTCCTCCCCAACCTTATACTAGTTCCCAAGACTCAGCCACTCCCTAACATCCCTTCATGATTTCAAAACTACAAGTCAGAAACCTATGAACTTCTCATAATTTTTGTGTACTCTCACATCAAATCCAGGAAATCTTAGCATTTTAATCAGTGAATATAATTATGCTGTTTTGCTAATTTGTACCATTGGTTTTTACTATATTTTAAAAAATGTTACTAGAGTCACAGATTGCCTCTCTACTTCTGTAGTCATCTTTTAACTTTTACTGATGAGGGTTGTTTTGAAATCCACTTTTGTGCTGAATCCCAATTTGGGCCTGTGACTGGACCTCCTTTCTCTCAAGCTCTTCTCCATTTTTGTCCTTGCAGTTCCTTCAGACAGGAACAATTCTGGGTCAGAGCTTTGGACTGTAGGAAGGCAACCTCATCCCTGTACGCGATATCCTGTCCCTCTACTGGAGGTGGACTCTACAAGTTCCCCCTCTCCACTGTAGTGCACCTCAGCAAAGGTCACTCCATTTGAGTCCTAACTGCCCGAAACAGCCTGCTATCCCCTCAGGACTTCCATTTTCCTTCAACCTATCTGTCAACCTCATCAGACCTGCAGATCTTGAGCATACAGACCTGTGGATTTTTACCATACAGACCTGCTTGTCTGCAATCATACAGACCAAGATACCCATCAGAGGCCTACCACATCAGGACCATTGAAGTTAACCACTTCTCAATACTTATTAAAACAGGAACATCAATGGACCAAGACTATCCACATGGCTAAAGGATCTCGAAAGAACAAAATCAACAAAAGCCAGAGCAATATGACACATCCAAAGTAAAGTTACCCCAATACAGCAGGAACTGGATATCCAAACACAAGCAAAACACACAAAAAATAAATGACCATAAATCCAATTTTATAAAGTTGATAGAGACCTTAAAATAGTAAACGAATACACCCTCTA